ATCAGAAGTCTTCATCCAAGCCATTCAGAACCTCAAACCCATCAACACTGACATCAGACAATGCATCTTGACTTGCATAACAAGGGACAGCATCGCCGATCACAGTCTTTGGCTAGCATTACAGCACACTTCATCTACAGACAAGCGTACTCCTCCTAACTGGGATATTCAAGACGACTTGCTGGTATTCAGAGGATGAGTCTACATACCCAAGAACACCAAACTTTGACGGGATCTCATCCAGGAAGCCCACAACTCCCCTACCACAGGACACCCTGGACAATACAAAACACAAGAGATCCTTCAACAAACCTATTGGTGGCCCACCCTTGCTTGAGATGTCAGTGAATGTGTCACTGGCTGTGCAACTTGCCAAGAAAACAAGGTCATCACACATAGGAACTCACTGGATCTAGTACCCATCTCAACAGAACACCACCTTCCATTCCAATTCATTGCTATGGATTTCATCATGGATCTTCCTCAGAGTGATGGCTTTGACAGCTGTTTGGTGGTAACCGATCACGACTGTACCAAGGCTTTGGCATTCATACTCTGCAACAAGACAGTTACAGCATCTGAAACTGCCACCCTGTATCAGAACCATGTCTTCCAACGATTTGGACTACCCGTCAAAGCTATCTCCGACAGAGGACCACAATTTGCATCACAAATGTTCAGGGAACTATGCACTAAATTAGGCATCAAACAGAACATCTCTAGTGTGTTTCACCCTCAAACTGATAGACAATCAGAATGTGTCAACCAAGGCCTGGAATTGTATCTCTGGATCTTTTGCAATCATTGAGCAACAGACTGGACACATCATCTGCCACTAGCATAATTCGCGCATAACAATAGATATCATGATGCGATCAGGACATCTCCCTTCCAGGCACTCATGGGTTACCAATCTCGGCATAATATTCCTGTTAAGGGACCTGACGACTGAGGATCAGGAATTCCACTTAAGACTACTGTTAAGGGACCTAACGACTGAGGATCAGGAGTTCAACTGGTTAACTG